GGATAACAATTACATTCTCCTGGGAGTGGAATAGTCTGGTTCTCTCTTGTCTCTCTTGAGCTGGCCTGCGCTCCCATTCAGCTGTGTTTAACATCTGAGCCTCAATCTCTTTAAGTTCAAGAATTTTGTTCAGGCTTTCATCAAGGAGGTAAATGCTATCATTAATCAGGAAGTTTAAGAAATTCAGATAAACACCCTTTTCCTCTTCCTTAGCAATCTGCAAGAGCACATTTTGCACTTACACAATTTAACCAACAAAAAGAGGGGAAGGGCAGAGAGGGGAAAATATTATTCATTCTACTTAAAAAGCCTTAAAACAGAATGGATATTAGCAATAAAAAAGAGCACACCTGTCTCCAAGCATTACAATGACTAGGGACCTGCCACAGATATTCAAGAAGTTCTGCTATATTATGGCGGATGTTAAACTTGTCATAGAACTGCACAGAAACAGGTAAAACAGACTAATAAAAAGACCGAAAAACATACAAATCAAGAAGGCAATACTTCACAGTAATTAACAAGAACAACATACAGACAATACAAATCCCTCATTCAGACTGGGTTAATTTAGGAAAGGCACTCACCTTCTTTGTAAAGAGTTGAATAACATCAGTTCTCTGTTCTCTTAGTAATCAAACACCTCCAGAAGGATGTATGGCATTCAAAGTTTAACTGACTAAATGCTTAAAATTTCTTTGCTTTTGTTTTTACTCTGAGATTTGACTTTTCAATATATTACTAAAAAGGATGCTCTTATCTATTACTAATTATATCCTTTATGCATGCCACTAGCATCTAAATAATAGAATGTAAAGAACAAGGTAAACAAGAGATCAAAGATATTGGCTCAGACTCAGTGTTGAGCATTATGGTCTCCCAATAAGTATGTGGCAATTACCTGTGTATGAGAACCTGTGAACTCAATATCCACATACAGCTTTAAAAGATTCCTCACAAGATATTCTAGAGCCAATTGATGTCCTTCAAATAGTGTTGACATAGCAGATGAATTACTGGAAATGAACAAATTACTTTTAGGAACTCAACTACTTGGTTCAAGGGAAAAAAAGTTGTAAATTAGGAAAGATAAAAGTTGGATTATTTTGATCATATGATTGCAAATTACCTTCCACGTGGCATCCAGCAATTCAAAACTTCAACCATTTTAGCTCTTAAATAAGGGTTTTTGATATAATTTGGACTAGCCATAAACATAATTATGAAATTTAAAAAGTCATCCTGTCAAAGAAATTCAAATATGAATTGTTAGTTCCTAGGCAAGATGGAAGGCAACAATCCAAGCCAAAGCTACATGATACAAAACCTACCAGTGGGACCCCATCCAAAGCTTTTGGGATCCGAGCACCATAAATAAGCAATTCCATGGCATCTTCCACAAAATGCTCAGGCATACAAGCAAATTCCATCAGACAAGTAGATGGTAGAGGCATTTTGAATCCACCAACCAGATCAACCAACCAAATTATCATTAACCGATAGAATGAAAGTGCCCGCTGAATAAGTGCCTCATCCTTTATAAACAGATCAACAACCATACTTCAAAACAGAGCTAAAGGAATCCTCATTTTTCCTTTCTCCATTTTTTTTCTCCCTATGGAGAAGGAAGCTACGGTAAAAGGAGACAAATATAGAGATGATGCAATATAGAAAATCACCATAGAAAAAACAGTCAAAAACAAACCCAAAAACAAGTAAAAGGCTCCAAGCAAGGCAAGTAAAATTTCGTGCAAAGAGTGCAAAGGGCATTGTTTTTTTCTCGGCTATCTTGGGGAGATTGCTTCATGCCACATGGAATACCATGTTTTCTGAAGAGTGAGCCTCCAGCTGATAGTGAGGGTAAAACTAAAACCAGGACAATTAATTTGCAGCAAACATAATTAGAATGCCGTATAAAACATTAGTCACCTAATAAATCAAAAGGCCAGACCATAATGAAAGGATAAAACATTTACCACTCATGTGTCATGACCTAAAACTCCACAAGAGCCAAGCTAGCAATAAGAAGTCAAGATACTGTCAATTTAAGGTATAGTAAATGAGAAAGAGAGAGAGATGATATACTCTGAATATCTGAGCTTCATAACAAAACTTTTCCTGGTTATTTAGCTCTATCTCTTTCTCAAGTTGAGATATTTCCTGCTGGAGTTGTCGACCAGGTGCCTGCCCTTCCATGGCTTTTAATGTGGAAAGAGTGTCTTCAAATCTTGAAATGTCCTGCAATATTTTTTCACATCAGTAGAAGAGAACTCCACTACAAAGTTCTTGTTCAAGGTGGATAACACACCATACACTGAGATAAATTATTAACCAGGAAAAATAATAAAAATCAATAATTCATATTCTACATCTGCACAAATAAAAATTATATGCATTACCTGAACCACATGCTTGTAATCGGAGAAGGCTTTTAATAGGCCCAGGTTAAGCACCCTAGCAGTCATGAAGAAGCATTCACAAATAAAATGGTATTTAGTTTTTTGCTCCCTACTTGATAATGGCTTCATATTGTGAAGAGCAAGCCCAGAAGCACTGCTCCCAGAAGTGGTAGCTTCATGAGATTGAAGCAAACGATCTTCACCATCTACTCGTTGTCTAGATCCATCAGTCTTCAGAGGATTATCTTTGTCAATCCATCGAGCAACTTCTTCTGATGTTGCATGTAAAGCAGTCAGCTCCCTGATGAAGATTCATCACCAACAATTAAAGAGCAGGCAGAGTGCATAATTAAAGAAAGAAGTAAATCAATCACCAAGAAAGGGAGAAGTAAAGCAACCCTCACTTCATATCTAAACGATTACTGCAGAAGACATATTTTGGGTCAATTTTATCTCTCTTTGATAAATTTGCATCTAAAAATGGTTCACAAAGTTGAAGCATAACAGCACTGAGATTGACAAACATGCCTGAACTTGCACAAGATAGAGGATCAACCTGTCACACATGTAAAAGACAACGTTAAAGTGGCTAAAGGGGTCAGTATGGTGGAGAAATATGGATATTTAGTAGACCCCATTTAAAAGAAATGTCATTTAATAAATGGCTTTAGTTTCAAGTTCCAATGTTCCAAGGTGGAATGATCAGGAGAATGCATACGCATAAAGATCATGATCAATGACCAATCTTAAATTAATACAGTGCAACTGCAAATCGGAACTGTTCTTTTGGAGTAAAGGTAACCTGTATATGGGCCCTGGATGAGTTTTTGTTGATAACCTCAGCAAGGAACTCAAGTACATTCTCTCGGGTTTCACTATTTTTAAGAAGAGACATGAGCAACTTTCCCACGCCATCATATAGGTTGTTCATGACAGTCCTGATTGTGGTGAATGAAGACAGCAAATCAGCTGGCCTACGAGATGATGCTTCTGAAAAGCACTGCTGGCTGATAGTTTCAAGAGAGTAGCAATGAGTTTCGAGAGAGTAACAATGTAACAGTGAACAAAAATAAGCTTCAACAAGAATTTAATCAATCAGAAGGCAACATTCAAGGACCGCCATAATCAGAAGGCAAACAATAAAATTCAAACAACAGAGAAGTTCCAGTCAAAATCATTACTCACCCCACATCAGGCTGGCTCTTGAAAATAGTATGATCAGGCAAAGCGCTAACATGGAAGAATGGACCCAAAATGCTCGTCATTTCAATAGCACGCCCATTCATATAAATCTCTTTAGGAATCCACCAGCGATGAGTCACCAAGCTCTTGGCACCAGCTGGGAAGCTAACCAGAAACAACAACGCCCTCAACGGCTGCTGAAAGTTCCCCAAAGCAGAAACTTTCAAGACGCTACCCCGCAAATCCTCATACAACCCTTTCAGAATAGGATCCAGGCTATCGAAATCCGAATCTCTAAAGAACTCCTCCAAAAACCCTGGCGGACACTGCACCCTACTGCCGCCCTCAATTCCACCAAACCCATCAATCACTCCGGTGGAAACCTCAGAGATAATTAATGGCAACAGAGGCGAATGTGAAGAAGACCAATTACTAGAGTTAGTATTCACTGAATTCCCCGAATTAAACAAGTCAGGATTCCCCAAATGGATCCTGCAATAGGAAACCGATAGTTTCTTAGCCTCCCTGGTTACGGACTCCATTTCAGCCCGCACTGTCTTATCCTTCATATTGGAAATCTTCTTCGATTCTTCATGGGCACGTCGGTAACACCCCACAAGATACTCGAAAGGAGGCTCCACGTTGGGGAAGTCTCCGGATAGTCGATCAATGAGAACCCTTTCCATCAAATCCCTAGAAAGTCTGAGGCTTTTGCCTTCGCTGAGCATTTCAGCAGCTGTCATCTCGAGGTAGACGACACGCTGATCGGAGGCGGTGACTCCTGGGTTCTCTGTGAGTGTTACGAGGAAGATTTTGCGGAGGATTATGTCCTCAATCTCTTCCGGCGATCGCTGGGGTTTCTGGGTCGCCATGGTACCAGATCAAAAACGATTCAAGTGTTGGATTTTCTAGAGCAAACAGAAAATGCAGGGAGGTTGCGGAAATGGGACCGAGACTTAATAGAACATATTGATAGACGTGAGAATTGAGATGGTTTTAGGAGACTTTCTGTGGAAGAAAAGTGGAAGACTATGAAGACTGGTGAGTTTTATACGACGTCGTTAAATATTTTTATTTTTATTTTTATTTTTGAATAAAAAATAAAAATATTGTATTGTTCTTGAATTTTTTTCTGTTTTTGTCATTTCCAATTGTTTATTTTTTTGTCACATTATTTGGTCACTTCGGTCTTTTCTTCTTTTTTTTTTTTGTGATGGAGGTGACTTCGGTCATTTGATCCCATGGGAATTTAATGATTTATCAATAAATTTCATATTGATTTTTTTTTATTTATTAGTCAATATTATCACTTACTTTATAAAAATTAATGACTTTTTGATTTAGCTAAAAACATATTATCTATACTGAGAACAAAAAATTCTTAAAATTTACCTTCTCACTAATATCTTCAAAAAATTAGTTTTTTAAACATGCGCAAGAAAAATAATAAATTTTATTATTTTTAATTTAAGATGTTTTTGTTATTTAAAAAGTGATTATTTTAACTAGTAGCACTAAAAATGATTGTTTTTTGTTTTTTTTTTTAAACAAAATTAAAATGTGTACTGTGTAGGGAGAAGATCAAACAATGAACACAACTTATTAAATTAAGGAAAATACACTTGATTAACTAATTAAATTAAGAGTATGAATATATTAAAAATAGTTATTGGGTACAAAATCAACTGAAAAAAGAAAGCAATTACTTTAGAGGGAAGGTTAAGGCTGCTTTCCTTGATTCTTAGGGAGTTCCCTCTTAGCGGAGAACCCAAGTTTCTTAGAGAATTTCACCAACAAAAGCTAACTCAAGATGAACATTTTAGACGAACAAAAAGAAATTGTAGTCCATGGTGATCCACGGATAAACATGAGACTGATGCAGGTTGAATTATAAAAGTTATTCTTTTTTCTTACAACCAGTCTCAAAAATGACATCTTCTTCCAAGTGCTGAGTACAAAATGACCTGTCCAGCCATGAAAAACTAGCCAGAAAGAGCACTAAAGGAAACAGTTTGCGAGCTGTTTGTTGTACCATTGCATGAGATTCCCCGTACGGATCATTTTTTGGGGAAAAAATCGGTGGAAGGAGGAGGCATGTAATGCAACACATGTTGATACCAAAAAAAAAAAAAAAAATTGCTTGATGCTTGAAGGTACCTGCAACTGATTTCACTACTCTAAAGACTTGTTTATATAAAGGACTACATGAGTTGAT